TATGATCTGTTATGAGTTCACTCTGTTCTGCTTAAATTGTATATAGCCTAACTTTATTTGTGTTCACATTTTTGTTTGGATTCTGTACCTCTGTTTCTCTGTTGTTTATGTATTATTTATTCTCAAACGGTGTCGTATAAGCCCACACGGGCTGGGCGTGGTATGCGCACGACACGAAAATAAAGTTTCATTCATTCATTCATTCATTCATTCATTCATTCATTCATTCATTCACACACACACACACACACACACACACACACGCACGCGCACACACACACACACACATACACATACCCACATACACACGCATGTACACTTGTTGGAATTCAGTGCGTCTGTTTTCTATCAAACAGACGTTAATGACGGCTTTTTACTGGTAACATTGCATGTATATAAAATAAAGTGTAGCAAGATGCTTTAGATTGAACATAGCAACACGTCTAGCTTCGTATGTTAATAAAGGAAACAGACTCCAAAATCTATCAGTTCACTGTAGTAGTCGGCAACAAGACATTGCACAGAACTAGAGTCTGATGTATCTGCATGGCAGCTGTATCTGTCAGTTTAAAGCAGGCAATAAGGCATTGCACATCCCATTGTTTCTACATAGACGGTCAGCGCTGGCTTGTATATAGTCTCCACCAGACTTCTTTTGCAGGCTGAATAAATTGTAGAAATCGGCCTAAAAATGGTATTAATTGGCGAGAGAAGGTAGCCGGCCATCGACGATCAAATTTCTTGAAGGCCAACTTGCATTTGATAGTTGACTATTCAGCCTGCAAAATTAGAAGAAGTCTGGTGGAGACTAGCATGTATACATGAAAAAGGTCTATTCGGTAAACAACATATCAGTGCATCTAGATAATGACCTACAAGTGTTTATCACCAGCCGCCCACCCGTGTTTAATGGGGCAACTAATGACCCATTTGTGGCGAGAGAGCTTTAATTATGAACATCTCAAAATTAGGTCAACCCTGCCTTTTAATCAACTAACAGTTACTGTCACGATGTGATGACTCTATGCTATGGTGTGCTATTATGTTGTTTTTAAAGTATCGAGGTACAAAATACAAATGTAGTTACAACTTGCGCTGCATTCTGTTATGTTTTGTTGTATAATGTGTTTTATCAACAATGTAGAATATTATATCTGTACAATAAGTTTCCCAGTACACACACAAAAATGTACAACTGCTAACGTTACCTCCTCTTCTTCAGTTCGACATTCAGTTCCTTCATTGTTAACAGTGCGAGAATTGAGCTTTATAGACGAATAACATCGATGTTTCCCCACTTTACACACCTACATGTAAGTAATACAGACAAATTCACATTTTTTACTTAGTTTAAGTTCAACTTAGACAAACCCTCGATCCTCAAACATGTATGTTCTTATCTTTTCAACATCACAGAGAACCGAAAAGAAGTCGAAATTATGTAACAAATAACTGTAGTACTAGATTGATCTTGTTGTGTATATATTTGTGTATTCAAGTTAATTCCGGCACTTGGGATTTGGCACTCCCAGCCCCGAGGACAGACAACACTTAAGCTCCTGTCCTGTAATACAGGAGCTTTCAGACTAATTTGCATCATCTTGTCTTGACTTGTCTGACTTTTGTTCCTTTTTCGACTTCCAAAAATTTGTCTTCACTTTATTTGCATATCAATCAACAGGTTGTGTATATAAACCTGCTTTCCCCTCTGGTCTCTCAGTCACTGACGAAAGCTAGTGGATACTAGCTGAAACGTCTGACGTTTTCAAAATCATATCCAGTTGCTTGAGTAACTGTTTTTTGGCATATTCAAGTTAACCTTTTGTACCTAACCCAGTGGGTGTGTTTGTACAATAAAGGTCTTCATTCATTCATTCATTCATTGTTATGTTGTGTTGTACATGTAACTGAATTGTGTTATGTGAGCGCAGCTGTATGATGTTTTATATTATATTTTGTTGTAACATTGTACTGTTCATGATAATCAGGTTTTCCCGGGCACAGCTGCCACCCCTATTCACTCTCTCCGTTCCTTTTCATATAGGCGTACTGCGGTTGAGAAGTGTAGTCTAGTGATCACTGAACTGTGTTGTCAAGTTGCAACGCTGTATAGTGTGTTGTGAGGTATTGTATTCTGTAATGTGTTGTATACATCATACTGTTATAAATATAAGACCTTATAATCAGGTATAATCAGGTTTTCCCGGGCCCAGCTAGAGCGCAACTGCCAACCCCCATTCACTCTCCCGTTCCTTTCATGGTCACTCATGAGTGTGTTGTAACATTGTGTTGTAAGGTGCTGTAAAGTCTTGTTTTGCGTTGTAGATAGAACTTTATTGCACTATAACTGCACATGGTACAATATATGGCAAAAAATATAAGTACAAAAAATATTGAATAAGACCTAATATAGAATAAAACTAAAAACTAATAATACTCAAACAACAAAGGCTAGCACAAGTCCTTGATATAGTGTTATGTACAATTGAGTGGGGCTATTCACAAGTTTCGTTATTTTTTCTAATTCCCACAATGGAAAAACTAGGTGAATATAGAAAAGACTGCTTTGTTTAACAAAGCATTCTTTTCTATATTCACCTAGTTTTTCCATTGTGGGAATCATCGCTATAATCATGTTTTCCCGGGCCCAACTGCCATCCCCCATTCAGTTTACTCTCCCGTTCCTTCATGTACATGTAAGCTGTATTGTGTAGCAACCCTATGTTGTATGGTGTTGTCAGTGGTGTTGCAATTGTAAGGTGTTGCATTGTGTTTTGCGTTGTATACACAATACTGTTATAATCAGGTTTTCCCGGGTACAGCTAGAGCACAACTGCCAACCCCCATTCACTCTCCCGTTCCTTCATTCACCCCTGGTATCTATTATTTATGAATGACGTGTGACACATGCGCACGGGGCCCAGTGCGAGATGTTGTGTACATGTTGTCGTTTCGTCGCCTGACCCATGCAAGATGGGCCGAAATGGCCTGATGTGGCTAAACCAGCGACTGCCAGCTACCCTAGCAGCTTGCTTCACCCTTCTAGTTCTTCCTCCCACCTCAGGTGAGCTCAGTTCGGCACAGTTTTGCAGAAAAACGCATAGTTTCGAGCCTGCTTTTTGTGCCCGCGCTCCCAGTGCGCCGCCATGTTTTTTTACTGTATGTTGTCCTCTTCCAACAGAGTCCGCCTCCGTAAAATGTTATGACACGAAACATAAATTTTCTAGCTAGCTGTCACGGGCAACTTCTAGAATGTATGCATTTAGAAATAGCTGTATGTAAACGCTAGTTGTTTTTGTTTACGTGGCTGCACGACGCTGCACCAAAATAATATATTATAACGGTCAGGTGGGTTTCGAACCCCGCACTCTAGGTTCACCTGCACGGCTTCCACAAAGCTGACGGGGTGGGAGGGCCTTTCTCTTCGTAAAGGGGAAACTGTATATGCGATTGTGGGATTTAGGATTAGGTTTTAGTAATTATCTGTTGAAATGCAGGACTTACATTTGAAATCTGTCCCTTGCTCGATCTGTCAGTACCAGTTTGGTTTTGTTAAACTTAAAACCCACTATCATGATAATGATCATTCTGTCATACTCATGAACACCTGAGCGAAGTGAGGAAAGTCGTGTAGAGTGCCTTTTCCAAGGGCACAAGGTTGGTGACATGGCAGGATTCGAACACGGGACCGCTTGGTTCAGAGCCGAATGCTCTGCAATACGTTATGCCACACGACCCCACAGTTTAGCTTGCCATGATGCAACCTCCATAGCATGCCAAAAACTGTTTTTTTTGGGGGTCTTCAGGGTCTTTGGGAACTTTTATGTGCTATTTTCTGATTGCATACAAACAACATAGCTGGCCTGGTTGAATTACCCCCGTTTTTTGTGACTGGGCTAATCAGAAAACAGCCGAAGACCACCAAACCCCCACTTCTATAAGCCTGCTACAGAGGCTTAATGTCATTATAGATGTCTTGTCACGGATTGTAGTGGACTGAGAACATACCTTAATGCCGCATTCAGGAGAGACACAAGTCACCCGTCAGCCTTACTGTAGTGTCCCTGTCATGCCTGAACTAACCCTTGAATGTGCACGGGTCACGGCTTCGCTGGGGAGCACATTCTTTTCTCCACGCAGTGTGCTTGTCTCAAGTTCTAACATAAACAACACCTGCACAAGATTTTGTTGTTTATAACTGAAAGGTTTTATTCCCAAAAAAGGCATTAACCTTGCACAAATTAAGATATGACATATTCAAATAGATTATATCTGTGATTGAGTGTGGAGCACTTCATCTTTTGTCCATGCATTGTGCTTGTCTCAAGTTCTAACATAAACAAAATCTGCAAACGATTTCGTTGTTTGTCAATTCAAAGCTTTGTCCCTTAAAAGTTATCAACCTTGCACAGGACGTATTTAATTAGATATCCCTATGAAGCACTTCTTTTGTCTACATGCAGTGTGCTTCGTTGTCTCAATTTCTAACATAAACATTACATCTGCGTAGGATTTTGTTGTTTGTCATTGACCATATTACTATTAGAGGAACATTTTATCCCTGAAAAGTCATTAACCTTGATTTAGATTAGAATTAGGACGTATTTAATTACCTCTGTGAAGCACTTCTTTTGTCCATGCAACTAACATAAACGTTATAATTACTGCATAGGATTTTGTTGTTTGTCATTGACCTGCAAATATTATAAGGCTTTATTCCTGAAAAGTCATTAACCTTGCACAAATGAAGATAGGACGTATTTAAAAACATGCACAATAGGTAGCATTAGCTATAGGGTGACTTCATTATGCAGTATCAGTTACAAGGGAAGGTCAAGTAGAGTTTGAAAGCACTCTGGTGATAACGCTGTGTTTATTTGCTTTTTCAAGGGTCCAGGACTTTGACCTTAAAACACAGCTTTTGTTATTACATGTACTTTTGAGCATTTCACAGAGTTCTGTTCCTACAGAGAGAGTCTAGAGTATTTGTTTCTTTTTAGCCTGAATTTTGCAGGGCTGGAAATACCACCTGCATATGCAGCTTACCTGCAGGTAGAATTGGAGCTGTGAAGGTGTTTCTGATGTCACCAGTGCCAAGGGTTGTTACTAGAGTTAAGGCCTGTTTAGGCAATTTTGATTGTTAGCTATCTGTGTAGGGTTAGGTATGTAAATGTACCATTGCACGCTAGTATGTATGCTTATCAGTAAAAAAAAATACTAAAAAAAATAAAAGTTTTAACTTTTATTTCTTTTTTTTCAGTATTTTTAAATAAGTAGTGAAACTTAAAAGTTTCACTACTTATTTGGATGTTGTCTTTAGAATTTCAGGCATTCCACTTTATTTGTGCACCAAAAAGTTTTTTTCTGTACCTCCCAATTTTTTTTCTGTCCTATTATTCTCTGAGTCTGAAATGTATTTTGCTCCCTACTGATTATTGAACTTAATGTTGTTCTGTTGACCCCCCCCCCCAAGTGTGCCAGCTTGCCAGGCAGACCAGCCAGGTCATTGACCCTGCCGACCTCGCCACACCTGCAGATGACCTCTCACCTCTGGCAGCGAACTTTGACCTGCCCGACCGTGACTTTAGCTTCATCCAGGACCTAGAGCAGGGTATTTATGTTTTAGTATTTTTCTATGCCTTTGTGATTATAGGGAAGAAGTTGATATTTTCACATGCTAGGATAGCCCTATATGCTCAGACTATGTTCTGACATAGGGTTAGGGTGTATGTTCTAACGTAACAGCAGTGAAGCATTATCCGACACTTTTATACACACGCAAGATTGAATGATAAATCCACAACCAGACATTCAGTATTTTCGTCAATCATTTAATTAATTAGTGCATCTTGTAGCCTGTTTTTAACGTCATTAACCTACGTTTGTGTCACTCTTCCAACCAATGAGATATCGCGGGAAAATTGTGTCTTCAACATCGCTCCCGATTTCACCGTGTCCTGCGTATTCTGTTCTAAGCGGAACCTTAATCCGACACCATGCAACAGTGTAGCTGTTTGCCTGTAATTTTGCTATTCACAAAAACATTTTTTTTCCATATTTGATCTGTCCCAGTTCTGTTTCATGTCAGATGGAAAACAGGATGTGGATGACTTCATATTCCTTTGATCAGACACATATTAAAGGTAACTGGTTAACCATTAGGGAAGTCACCAGGGGACATCAAAGTTCTCTGTACCACTTTGATGTCTTTCATCCTCTTAACTTAGGCCTAGGAAGTAAAATTGTGTTTCCTGTTTCACACCCTGAAAGAGTAGGGTCGTTACTGTAGGTATATAAAGTTCTTCTTATAGCCATAGGGATTATCTTTTTTTTGTAAGACTTTTTTTACTTCTCTAGTAGTGGTCCAATTAATACTATAAGTACAGTTTAACAAAGTAAAACTTGCATGAGGACATTTTCATTTTCAATGTCAATGTTAAGAAACTGATTGTACGACGTTTCATCACTCAGGTGTCAGATCATGGAGCTAGAAAAGATCAATCAGCTCAAAAAATGTATGTTACACACAGGGGTTCACACAAATCGGCAGGTTTTTCTAGGGTTGGTCGTGATCGGAAGTCACCAGGGGACTTCAAATCAAAGTTCCCTGTAGCACTTTGATGTCTTTTGATCCTCTTAATTCTGACTGATTTTCCGTCCTTTTCAAAGCTAATAGGACATCAAACAGTCTTACAGTTGATTAAGGTTAGGGACTAGAGCTGTGTACCTAAACAAATTTTAGGTACAGGTACAGGTACAGGTACACAGGTTTAGGTACAGGTCCGGACCTGAACCTGTACCTGAACAATTCGACCAATTTATATGCTCTTCTGAACTCCTTCAATAACACAAAAACATAAATAAACTTGATAGTTAAGGTTTATTCTTTGTTTATGGCGAATGCTCAGATAAAATGTAGGCAAAACTAAGTGTTTTTGTTTTCATGAACACACTGTCCTTACACAGGGACCCATTGTTAACCAGCTATTTACACATTTGAGGTCACAAATAGGCATAAAATTGGTGTGAAATTGTTTAGGTACAGTACCGGTACTGAGGGATTAGGTATTTTGGACCTGTACCTTATCAATTTTTCCGGTACAGTATCGGTACTGCGTACCGGTACACAGCTCTAATAGGGACTGGAAATTCCCACCCACAACCTGCAATTTATGATGATGACGGCAAAAATATTAATATAGATCATATGAATAAAGATGTAGGGTTGGTATTAATTATGAATTACAAGCTCAAATCACAGGGTCAAATATACATCATGTACAGCTTTGAGTTCCAATGTGCTATAAATGTACAGGTATGATTATTCTACTTTTGACAAAATATTTATACGAATACACACAACAAAGTTCAGCTATGCTGGGGAGCTTTCGAGACGTTACACTGTCTCTTCTTCAACCCGATTGAGATCTCGTCTTGGAGTTCTCTTGTCACGTGACTTGATGGGATAATCACGTGACAAGAGACAGTCATATACAGGTTTTAGGTAGTGACGCCCCCTGTCCTTGTTTAAGGTACTGCATTGTCGGCGGATCTGGATTGCCTCCCGGACACCCCTTGCAAACCAATCGGAATCTTGATCCAGCACTTTGACCCTGTCCCAGTCTATGTTGTGTTTCTTCCTGGCGACGTGCTCCACAACAGGTGACGACACACAGCTCGGTCTCTTGTGTTCCTGTAGACGGGCGCGTAGTGGTCTCTCTGACTCCCCTACGTATGTTGCAGGGCAGTCCGCACATGGGATGTGGTAAACCGTTCCACTCCGATCCAGCGTCTTAATCTTGTCTTTAGGTGCTACCAGGTTCCGTCTGATGGTGTTGACCGGTCTGAACTGACACTGTATCCCTTTGCTTCTGTACAGTCGCATGAGTGTTCTAAATCTTCAAATATACTGAAATATTTTTGTTAAAGAGGTTCATCAGTCATGTAGAATTAACAGTTAGTAGAATATGACATGTGTGTGGACACCAAAAACAGTCACTGATGAAGAATACTCTACTAACTGAAATATTTTTTTCTTTATTTCTGGTGTGCTACCCAATGACATCCCTAGAATACAGCTGTATATGTTATATAAAAATATATAATACTCTTGTCAATTAAACTATACATACAACAATTTATTTCTTGTTTCAAGCCTGCATTTAGTTATTAAATGTCAAATGTCCCTTGAAACAGACCACAAACCCAGAGCATCACAGCTGGTGCTGATGTCACTTTACAGGTCCTTCAGGAAAATGGAGGTGGAATGATCAGGAATCAGACAAGTGTTTCAAAGGACCCGGTAGACCTGATTACAATTGCTGAGTCCTTTTGAACTATGGAGACTTGAAGATAAAAGAAGCTTTAATCATCTTTTTGCAGGGCTAGAAATATTTTTTTAATTCCTGTAATACTGCAAGTTTTTGTTCAAAATTTTTCTTCTCTACAGCTTTACACAATATTACAGCCAGATCTATAAAAGCTGTATTATTGTATATTTTTTTAAATTTTTCATTTAAGATACAAAAATATCATGGCATGAAAACTACAGCCTCAAGAGTAATAAAAAGCACAGAATCAGTAAGAAATTCACAGTTACAAAAATTTGCAGCAACTCTAAATACTTCATTTCTTGTCATAAATTACTAACAGTGTCTTCCTTTCCAGACACGCCCAATGTTGAGGCCAGCCATGTCAGCATCTTTGACTTAGTTTTGTTTTGTTCTACTTGTAATTGTTAATCCTTTTCCAGACCCGCCCAGTGTAGAGGCCAGCCATGTGAGCGGGGATGTGACCAGCGGTGATGCCGACAAGCGAACAATCATCGTCCAGGAGGCGGGACAAGACACCAGAGCCATCGCAACTGAGGCGACAGAAGTGCCAAGCCAATATGTGCTCATTGTGGTGAGTCAGTCTTTTCAAATATCTTGAAACTTTCGCTTTGGTTTTATATTCCAAGTTTCACAGCAGTAGTAGAGATCCTTTTTTTCAATGTGCAATATTGCAGATGAGTCAAATTCACAAGCCTCCACACTACAACCTTGAATTTCTCAACTTAATAATGTGAAATTGCGGATTGTAGGATTTTTCATCTGCAATATTGTAAATTTCTCTTCAAAATGGGTATTTCAAACACTGCATAGTCATACAAACATCCCCACGTTGATTTCATGTTTTAAAGTCTGAGGTATAGAAATAAGGAATCCCAGATGAAAGTCTCTGAAGAAAGGCAGATAAGTTTATAATTATACTGTCTGTTATGTTTTTTTTTCCTTTTTAAATTTTTTTCTGTGCATCTAGATTTTCAGGCTAGATGCACCAGTACTGTACACTAGTGTACATGTGCATATCCCCCAAAATAGATTCCAAGCCATGCACGAAAACACTATCTTCAAAGTAATGTAATTCCAGATTTTCAAACCTTCTCTTCTGGCCTGAAGCTTAGCTTTGTGAGAGAGATGAAAGGAGTTTCTTTTTGTTATTGCTACTCAAAGTAATTTCAAAGGCACAAAATTCCCACCTGCTACGGAAAGCTCTTAATCACATTATAAAGCTTCGAGTTACAGAAAAATATTGTGTGTTTTTTTTTCCTCTGTTTATGTAACAGTATGAAGTGGTGATTACGTAACATACATGTAAATGAAATTACAACAGTTTGAAAATTAAATTGTTGTACTCGCTTCTTCTGGAAGTTATGGGGTACAACAAAATTTTTGCAGAAAAAAACAACAACATTGCAGACCTGTGTTGTATGTCCATGACCCAGGCCTTAATATTTACATAACTTTACATATGGCAAGAACAGGTACAATAGTACAGGTACAGTTTATCTATACAAGTACAGTTAACATTACACTGATACAGATATACAAGTACAGTTCAGTTCTAGATACATTGTACAATCTCAGATACTAAGTACATGTACAGGTACAGATCCAGGTACAACTTCTTGGTCATGACACTGAACATGTATGTACAGTACACAATCATAATGTTCAGGTACATGTTGTATGTGCTTGGGTACAATTACAGGCACACCTACATGTAGTTTTTTCTTCATGGTACTTGTTCAGGTAAGGTTTCAGGTACAGGTACTGTACATGTATACTTGAAGTCTGATACAGATAACGTTACATGTACAGGTACAGGTACAGGTCCATATACATGTACAAGGACACTAGTATACAGATCCAACTTTTAGGTCTGTGCAGAAGCGACGAGAAGAAAATCAGTGCGTGGGCATGAGACTGTCACGACTCATGGCCCCCGGTGTGTTTTTTCATTACTGCACAGTAACTGTACAAGTACATGTACATGTAGGTACAGGTACAGTTACACAAGTACACTGGTACAGACATAGGTACACAGATACATGTACATGGGTACATTCACAATGATATATATGTACAAATATCATAAATGCCCAAGATACATGTACAGGTTCAGATACATGTTAAGTTACAGATCCAGGTACAACTTTTTGGTTGTGGTGCAGTTACAGTTAGTGTTACAGGTTCATGTAGGCACGTACAGGTACATAGGCACAAGTACACTACACTGGTATACATATACAGGTACACAGATACATGAACACAGTTTGGTCTTGGTGTAGCAGTGATGAGAAGTAAAATCAGCGTGTGGGCGTTCAGACGGTCACGACTCGTAGCCCCCGGTGTGTTTTTTTACGCAGCGCGGGGGCGGAATTTTATCCCGAGACTAGCGGCATGTCATAACTCCAGAAGCAAACTGCAGGCAGACTGGTTCTTTCTGTATTGATCTGGGAAAGATGTAAACAGGATGTGAAGGATTATTATGTTATCATTCTTGCATGTTCCAACAGCAGAGGTAGAAATGTTTTTTTCAGTGTACTGCAATATTGCTGAATGTCAAAATTTTGTGCTGTAATTCAGTACGCACTTAATTAAAAGTCCGGAGCTGAATTAACCCACGGCATATACAAAATTGCATGTTTGCAAAAATTTTACATGCAGTTTGAAAAATGCATGCAAAATTACTGTAACACTAACAGTACTTGTATATAATACAAAGCACTTTAAGTTAAACACCATTGAACCCCTAGCCTGATTTTTACAGTCTGCAAAATTGCAGGTTGCTTAATTTTTCTTTTGCAAAGTTGAAAAATGCCCATTCATAATGCAGACTGCAGATGGGTATTTCTAACACTGAACAGTGTTATAATCTTAACCTTTAGCATACAGAGGCAGCCATTTGGGTGCAAATTCTCTGTTGTTTACCCTCAGGTAACAGGGAGAAGGTTAATACTAGACTAGGTATTACTTCTTTTCATTGCCATGTTTCTTCCATGCATACTCAGGGCTTAAACTTGTTATGTGAAGTTAACATTGAAAATTACCTGCAGAGAAATTTTACCTGCATCACTCAGAATTTGGGAAATATGGATGATACCAAAAACTGTTCAGAAACCTTCACCATTAGTTTGTACGTCGTCGGCAGAAACTGAATGCGGGTTTGAAAGCTGTTGAAAGTGTTTCCTCCATGCATACTAACGGGCTCGAAATACTTGTTCTGCGCAGGTAACATTGAAAATCGCCAACAAATTTTACCTGTACCACGCAAAATTTGGGAAATATGGATGATTCTAAAAACTGTTGAGAAAGATGATCATGATGATGTTGAGAAAAAGTATTGCGGCCATTATTTTGTACTTCGTAGGCGGTAACTGAATGCGGTTTGAAAGTTAAAGCTGTTGAAGGTATTCGGAGTGATTCCACTCCCACCCACACTCGCATTAATGGAGCCACAGGATCGAGGAAATGTCAAAGTCGTTTTATGTTTTTTTTTTTTACTTCAAACTCAGTCCCTTCTTCGATTACGGGAGAAGGGAGCTCTTCAATTTCAAAGGCGATACCAAGAATTTAAAGTCAGTATTCAAAGCTATATATATAGAGTAGGCACAGTACTTGTTCATCTTTTTCAGGTTACTTACTCTCACCTCAACATACAATGTGTGACTCTGTGTGTGTGTGTGTGTGTGTGTGTGTGTGACTCTGTGTGTGTGTATGTGTGTGTGTGTGTGTAACTGTGTGACTGTGTGTGTGTGTGACTGTGTGACTGTGTGTGTAGTGTGTGTGTGCGTGTGTGTGTGTGTGTGTGTGTGTGTGTGTGTGTGCGCGTGTGTGTGTGTGTGACTGTACATACACATAGCTGAAAATGACCTATACCTACCATAAGTTACCATAATGGAAAAATAACATATAAAACATATATAACATTCTCCCAGCTTTCGAAATGCAGTATTTTTATCTTTGGCATTTTGGAACATTTTCAAGCCACACGCCTACACATGTATTAACCTTCTCCCTGCTGGCTAAACACTTAACCTACATGTTTGTATTACAAATCTCATGCCTAAAGCCAACTGCAACTGAGAGAGAGTTGATATAGTCTGAGGAGAGAAAATCGGTAGTCTTTTCAAACAACTACATATTATCTGTATCTGTATAGCTGCCCTTTGACGTAACACACCAGCTTCTGTATCTATATAGCCGGTATAACGGCCCTTTGGCGTAACACACCAGCTTCTGTATCTGTATAGCCGGTATAACCGCCCTTCTGCATAACACACCAGCTTCTGTATCTGTATAGCCTGTATAACTGCCCTTTCACGTAACACTCCAGCTTCGCATGTACGCGGTGCAGCGGTAGCTGGCTACATTACACCGAACAATTATGCTATCAGCAGCTATGAAAGTAGGCTCACTGCTTCGAGCCAGAAACTACCTCACTCCTGCAAGTATTCTGTATCTGTACAAATCCACCATCCATCCTTGCATGGAGTATTGCTCGCATCTCTGGGCTGGTGCCCCAAAAGACTGCCTACATATTTTAGACCGCATTCAAAGGAGAATCTCAGTTGCCATCGGCCATTCTCTGGCCGCAAAGCTGGATTCCCTCTCACACAGACGCAATGTCGCATCTCTATCCCTCTTCTACAGATACTTTCACGGTCGATGTTCAGGAGAACTTGCACTTCATTTCAGCGTGCCACTAGGTTCTCTTCCAGTTCTCATCAATACACCGTTAACATACCTGTCTCCAAGTCATATTACAACAACAGCTTCTTTCCCCGGACTGCAAAATTATGGAACCCTCTCCCAAACAGCTGCTTTCCGACCGATTACAATCTACAAAGCTTCAAAACAAAGGTCCACCGCCATCTCATGACATAGCTATAATATACTCCTCTAAGTACCTCTAGCTCTATGCCTAGAAGTGGCCAAATATAATTGGCCTTGCATTGAGCGATACCGTTAAAAAAAAAAAAACTAAACTA